GAAAACATTTGAACGAACCGTTAATTTGATGAAAAATAGGTATATTAGCTGTGAATTGAAGATTTAACTGATAAAAGACAAGTTCTCAAGGATTGTTTTCAAGGCTGAAAAACTCGTGTTATCTTCAAATAGATATATATTCTCATGTTTTCGATGAAATTTTTATAAAAATTGTTCAAATAAGTAGACAATCAACTGATCAACAATTTTATATTATAAATCGGTTTGTAGAAGAAATTATTGTCATTTAAATTTGGTTTCATTTTGAAAACAACTTGAAGTTCAAAATGAGTGAAACAGTTTTACTATTGGGGAGCGGGTCTCGAGAGCATACCCTGGCCTGGAAACTGGTGCAGTCCCACAAAGTTAACAAGATTTATGTGGCGCCAGGAAATGGAGGCATTCATACATTGGGATCAAAGGTCCAGACCGTCGGTTTGTAATCTAGATATTTAAATACAAGAACTTTATTAACCAATTTTGGCATTAGATTTAGATATTAAAAATGTGGACAAAGTGGTTGAGTGGTGTCTACAGAATAAACCGCAACTGGTTGTGGTCGGACCCGAAGATCCACTTGAAAGGGGTGTTGTCGACAAATTGAGCGAAAAGGGAATCCGTTGTTTTGGTCCTAACAGAGCCGCCGCGCAGATTGAAAGCAACAAATCATTTGCTAAAGACTTTATGAAAGTTCACGACATACCGACCGCTCGCTACCAGAATTTTAAAGATGCGAACGAAGCAAAAAACTTTATCAAAAGCGCGAATTTTAAAGCTTTGGTCGTAAAGGCCAGTGGATTAGCGGCGGGTAAGGGTGTTATAGTGGCCGCCAATGTAGAGGAGGCGTGTAATGCCGTCGATTCCATTCTTGTGAATAAAAGTTTTGGAACCGCTGGGGATGTGGTTGTTGTGGAAGAGTTGCTCGAAGGCGATGAGGTCTCAGTTCTTGCACTTACCGATGGAACCCATTTCAAGACATTACTTCCATCGCAAGACCACAAGAGAGCGTATGAGAAC